TGACACGTGTCATCCTTGTGCTGTTTCACACTGTATGGCTCTAGTTTCACAGCCAGAATTCTCCAGAATATTATTTCCGACGGGGAAGAATTTGTCTGGAGATTTCCGACGGGGGAAATTTCCCTGGAGATTTTTGGGAGAATTTCCGGGAGAGTCCCTGGGAGATTTCCGACGGGGGAGATTTCCCGGGAGATTTTCTGGAAGATTTCCTTGAGATTTCCGACGGGGGAGATTTCCCAGGAGATTTTCCAGAAGATTTCCCTGGAGCTTTCGGATGGGGGAGATTTCCGGGGAGATTTTCCAGAAGAGTTTTTGGAACGTTTCCGACGGGGGATTTCCCGGGGGATTTTCTGGAAGATTTCCCCGGAGATTTCCGACGGGGGAGATTTCCTGGGAGATTTCGGGAAGATTTCTTGGAGATTTCCACGAGATTTTTGAGCATATTTCCGACGGGGGAGATTTCTGGGAGATTTCCGGGGGATTTCCGGGGAGCTTTCCGACCAGGGAGATTTTCCAGGAGATTTTCCGGAAGATTTCCCGAGAGATTTCCAACGGCGGAAGATGTTCCGGGAGATCTCCGGGAAGATTTCCCAGGAGACTTCCGACGGGGGAGATTTTCTGCAAGATTTCGGGAAGATATTTGGGAGATTTCCGCGAGATTTCCAGGACAATTTCCGACGGCAGAGATTTTCGGGAGATTTCCGGGAGATTTTTGGGGTGATTTCCGACCGAGGAGATTTTCCGTGAGATTTTCCGGAAGATTTCCCGAGAGATTTCCGACGTGGGAGATGTTCCGGGAGATTTTCCGGAAGATTTCCCGGGAGATTTCCGACGGGGAGATTCACCGGGAGATTTCGGAATGATTTCTTGGAGATTTCCGCGAGATTTCCGGGGAACTTTCCGACGGGGGAGATATTTTGGAGATTTCCGGGGGATTTCAGGTGAGATTTCCGACGGGGATTTTTTCTGGGAGATTTCCAGGGAGATTGTTTGACGGAGCAGATTTTTCGGGAGACATCCCGGGCCCCCCCGGGGGTCGCCTGGGGGCTCCTTGACAAAATTCGACGCAGCGGGAGGACGAGGAGCTCGAGGGCGACGAACAGGACGGATAAGCTCAGGAATGGGAAAAGGGATATCAGAATGGGGGCCGAAGGAGGGTGATGATGATGAGGAGGAGGGAGAGCAAAAGGAGGAAAAGGAGGACAACGGTGGGGGGGTGTAACATAGGGCCATAGGGAGCCCCACCGAAGGCCCCAGCGTTAGAGCTCGCGCCTCCCGACTTGGCTACACGCCTCATCCGTTTCGCGGCCCCGTCGGGAGCTCCACCGATGGCCCCTCTGTCGGCGCCGGGATGTCCACTGAAGGCCCCAGCGACGGCGCCCGGATGCCGCCGCCCTACCATTTTTGGCAGACCACTACACGTTTCGTGGCCCCATCGGGAGCTCCACCGAATTCCCGCGTTGCAATGCCCGCATGCCGCCACGCCCCCCCCCCCCCCCCCCCACTTTGGCACACCCCTCACGCGCGTCATGCCCCCAGTGGGAGGTGTACCGAAGGTTCCGCTGTCAGCGCCCGCGCACCGCCACCCAGCCAACTTGTGGAACCCTCTCACGCTTCGATTCGTGGTCCCACATGGAGCATGCTCCATTTTATGTTGGTGGACCTCTCATACGTTTGGTGGCCCTTTCAGGGAACTCCAGCCTCTAGCGGCGCCCGCATGCCGCCACGCCCACACTTTGGTACATCCTCACACGTTTCGTGGTCGCGTAGGGTCTTCCACCGAAAACGATTTTCACAATTGCGGCACTCACAGCTGCATATGGACAGGTCCTTCGCCAGGGTTTTCCAACGAGGGATCGTTGCTTCGCCGTCAGTGGAAGATTCGAGATGCGGCGCGAACATCCCATGATCCAGGCGGCAGCTCCAAAAACTGAGATGTCCTCAGCGGCCCGGGGGGTAGGCAAAAACCTGCACCGTTGGGCAAAAACCTCCACCTCTTCATCCTCCGTCTTCCCCCCTCCCTCGCGTCCATCCTCCCCTCCCTCTTCCTCGCCGTCTCTTAGGCCCCGGCGCCGTCCTGCGTGGGGTGGCCGTTATTGCGCCCGGGCGGCCGCCCTGGGCCTTGCGGCCCCAGCTTTCGGTTTGTTCATCCCTCTTCCTCGTCCGCCGCCTAGGCCCTGGCGCCGTCCTGCGTGGGGAGGTCGGCACATCGGCATCTCTTGTCCCTGGGAACTAGCTATTTTGGTTTATGCCGAGGGGTATTTTTGGTTACCGACGTCTTGTTTCTATCGACGGATAGTAACAGAGGGATCGGTCCATCGGTCATGTGTTTGGGGGAATTATGCGCCCTTCGGGCGGCCTGCGGGACGGGCCGAAGCTCCAGAGGGGAGTCCTTTTGGAAAAGGAACCAAAACCAGAAGCGAAAGGGTTCAGCACGCCAGGCTCCCCTGTGATGAATCAGCAGGGGGCGGCGGATCCTAGTGGCCTTCGGTCCATCCCGCCACCGTGTCTGGGTTGTGGGTCTGAAGTGCAACTACCGCACTTGGCTACGATCTACGAGAATGCAGCACTTCGTGGGCGATTCAGCGGCTACATTGTACAGCTGCAACTGCAGTTCGGCGGTTATTTCGTCAACGAGCAGCCCGACCCATCGTGGCTGGGCGATTTGCCAAGGGTCCTCGTCTCTGCAGCTCAAGAGTGGTTGCTTGGTACCTTTTGTTCCAGGTTTCTCTCTCCATCCAGGTTAGGCTCAGTCGTGTGCCCATCGATCATCGTGTACAATATGCGGGGGTGATGGTGGTTCCACGAATCCCATGACCTCTTCTTCCATCAGGAGTTGAAACTTTGGTTTTGCGGAAGTTGTGGATACTTTGCCTCGGCCCAAATCCGATCACTCATAACTGAATGCAAGCGGGAACCCACCACCACCGCCACCGGACTTCACCTTCAGGGGACAGATTCCCTGCTCTCTGGCCACAGGTCCTGTCAGGTTTCGAGAAGTATACCAGGGGCCAGACCACGTAATTTACATGCCTTTGCTTCGCGATTTGACCATGTCCCGTTCCAGTCAGTTCCCTCCTCTCCGTCCTGGCCTGTCCCCTCCCTTTTTCGCTGTGTGTTTGAAGATGCACATGTAGACAGTTCCTTCTGTCTCCCAGTGAGCGCGCGTGTGTGCTTATGTGTGTGTGTGTATGTTTTAGTACACCAGGTCGTTTTTTTGTTTGTTTTGTTTTGTTTTGTGTTTGTTTGTTCTCTGTCCCTCTAGCTCTCTGTATCTTTCTTTCTGTATTTCTCCCTCTCTCTTTCTCTCCCGCCCTCCCCCTCTCTATACATTCATATTTTATATGTATCAATGTATATGTATTTGTGTGTATGGGTTCCACTCACTCTACCTCTTCTCTCCCGCACGCACTAGATACCTTGTCATTGCTCTCCCTCCCTGTCTCCCTCTTTCTCGAATGACCTCGTGTTGTTTGTTATCTGTCCCCCTTCTACCTCCCCTTCACTTCCTTCTCCCTCTCTCTCTTTCTTTCTCGCCCCCTCTCTGTATATATCTTTCTACATATGTACGGACATCGATAGAAGTAGGTGTATATTGTAGCGGCCTCCGGCCGGTGCCGCCGATCCGGGACGATCCCGCTGTCACAAGGACGCTTTCGCCCCAGCGCGCTTGTTCAAACGTAAGTGGTTTGGAAACAGCGTGGAGACATTGCGTGGGCTTTTTGAGGAGCCTCTACGACGCATCTTCGAGGCGTCCTGGTGCACCCACCCCCTCAGCAGAGCTGAAGCTCAAGATCTGAGGCTCAGGCTATATCTGAGGGTCTTTGAATCTCACACGCCGGATCGGCATACATTTTCTTATATGTATATATATATATATATGTATATATATATATATGTTTTTATATGTGTATATATATATATATGTATACATATATATATATGTATATGTATATGTATATATATAGATGTATACACACATACAAATACCTCCCTCTCCATCCTTCTCCTCTTTCTCACTCACAGTCTTGCCATAGGCCGCGGCGGCCTACGCGCGAGCGGCACTGCTGCCTCCTGAGCAAGGCCACGGCGGGGGGGGAGCAGCGAAGCAAGGGTGGGATGGGTATGGGGAGATCGGGATGGGAGGGAGGGAGGGGGGGAGGGAGGATGGGGGGGGAGGGAGGGAGGGAGGGAGGGAGGCAGGCAGGGAGGGAGGGAGGGAGGGAGGAGGAGTGGGAGTGGGAGTTGGAGTTGGGGTTGGGGTTGGGGTTGTGGTTGGAGTTGGAGTTGGTTTTGGAGTTGGAGTTGGAGTTGGAGTTGGAGTCGGAGTTGCAGTTGGAGTTGGAGTTGGAGGTGGACCAGGAGGAGGAGGAGGAGGAAGAGGAGGAGGAGGAACAGGAGAAGGAGGAGAAGGCGGAGGGGGATGATGTTGATGATGATGATGATGATGATGATGATGATGATGATGATGATGATGATGATGATGATGATGATGATGATGGCGATGATGATGACGATGACGATGACGATGACGATGATGATGATGATGCCGAGGACGATGATGATGATGATGATGATGATGATGATGATGATGATGATGATGATGATGATGATGATGATGATGATGATGATGATGATGACGAGACGATGATGATGCTGATGCTGGTGCTGATGCTGATGCTGCTGTTGCTGATGATGATGATGCTGATGCTGATGCTGATGCTGATGCTGATGCTGAGGATGATGCTGATGCTGATGCTGATGCTGATGATGCTGATGATGATGATGATGATGCTGCTGCTGAGGAGGAGGAGGAGGAGGAGGAGGAGGAGGAGGAGGAGGAGGAGGAGGAGGAGGAGGAGGAGAGTAGAAGGAGAACGAGGTGGCGGCGCTTTCTTCACATGTCGGCCTCTGCGGCAACACTCCCCGCCCGCGGGACCGGCTGGCGCGGAGGCTGGGCTGCAAGCAACGCCAAGTACGCCTCGCAGCTCGCCCGGGCGATGGAGGCAGGTGGGCCGGCGGTGCGCGGCGGCAGCCGAGGGGGCACCCTGTGCCGCGCCGTCTCCCCCTCTTGCCCCTCCTCCCTCTCCTCCTGCTCTCCATCCCCCCCCTCCTCCGTCCTCGCGCTCCTCGCCTTTCCACCCTCCCTCCGTGCGACGATATCCCCCGCCTCCCCCCTTCGCTCCTTTCCTCCCTCGCCGCTCTCTGCATTCTTCTGCCCCGGGTAGGAGGAATAGGAGAAGGGGATGAAGGGGAAAACCGGGGGGGGGGGAGTGGGGGGGGAGGGGAGAAGGAGGAGGAGGAGGAGGAGGAGGAGGAGGAGGAGGAGGAGGAGGAGGAGGAGGAGGAGGAGGCCGAGGGTTGCTCGTGCACTGGGCGCTGATGTTCACAAGTGGGCCTACTCGCCGGCGCTCTCCGCCTCAGCCGGCCTCCTGCTGGCAGATCTTCGCCCGTGCGACTTGGTCGGACCTCGCCTCTGCCCTGCAGGCCTTGGCTGCCGACGCGCCCAGGCACGCCGCGGGTGCTGCCTGGGCGGCCGCGGCCCTGCTCTGGCGGCTCGGGTGGGCGCCTGCTTGGCCTCGCAGAGGTTGGGCAGAGGTGGTCCACGTCCTCCAGCTCGCGGGCGACTTCTTGGACCCCGTGGTGCACAGGGCCCCGTCGCTGCATTCCGTGCGGCAGAGCAGCGCTGGGGCGAGCGCTCGAGTCGGGTCGCTCGCCCAGCGACGCCGCCTCCAGCCTTGGGCAGCTCCTGGTAGCTGCTCGGTGCAGCGCCGACGGGCTCGGCGCCGCAGCGCCTGGCCTTGCCTTGGTCCGTCTCGCCCGCCCGGCGGGCGGCCCACGACCTCGGCTCGCTGCCTGCAGGGCCCGCTTTGCCCGGGGTCTTCCCTGCCTTCGGTGGGCCTTTGCTGCTCGTGCCGGGCGGGGCGTCGCGCCGCTCGCGCAGGGCGCCGATGGCTGGCGGCGGTGGGCCGTGCAGTCGGCGCGTGTTTCTCCTGCGTGATGACAAGCGAGCGCTGGCGGACGTTGTTCGCCTCGCTGCCACCTGCCCCGCGCACCAGCCGTTGTACACCCACGCGGAGCGGGCCTTCTGCTTGTTCGATTCGGCTGGGCAGGGCGCTGCCATCCGCCCTGCGCAGGGCGGGGTGGCGGCAAGCAGCTGGCTCCGCCAGGGCAGAAACATGCCCTCCAGGACCCAGGAGATGCAGGTGGCACTCCAGCAGGCCTCCCGCGACTGGACAGCCCCGCAGGGATGCGTCGGCCCTGGCGGCCCCGCGCAGGGGCTGGCGCTGCTGGGCCCAGCCCCCCTGGCCGCGGAGCCCCTCGCGGGGCTTGCGCCCGCCGCGGGCGGCCTCGTCAGCGGCGGCTTGGGCGACGCTTCTACGGGCGCGCCGTGGCGCGAGCCCAGCCGCTCTCCTAGCAGGGCCCGCCGTCCCTGTGGCGGAACCGGAGAAGACGCCTCGGAGGGGCTTCTGTCGTTTTTTTTTTTTTTTTTTTTTTTTTTTTTTTTTTTTTTTTTTTTTTTTTTGTTGTTTTTGTTTTTTTCAGGTTTGGTGTTTTGCCTAGCGGCCCCTCATTTGTCCGTGAAGAGGCTGGTGGTTGCGACGTGGTTCGCGAGAGACCTTCCCTGGGTTCCTCGCCCTCGGGGTCCTCGAGCGTTGCCTTCCCCAGTTTCCTCGGGCTCCTCAAACTGCCAAACAAGGCCCAGCAATGCCAAGCAATGCCAACCAGTGCCAGGCGATGCCAAGCACTGCTATCAAATACCAAGCAATGCCAAGCAACGCCAAGCAATGCCAAACAAAACCAATCAACGGTTGCAATCAGTGCCAAGCATTGCCAAGAAACGCCAATCAATGCCTGACACTGCTTCGCGTTACTATGCTCTGCGTTGCTCAGAATTGCTTGGTATTGCTCTGGAAGCAAGAAGGCCCGTACTTAGAAGCAGCTCGTCGCGCAGGATGTGGTCAGTAGCACGTCTTGCTATATGGTGGGTTTGGTGACGCACGTGACGCATGGGCAGTTGTGTCAGCCGCTGCCGCGTGTGAGCGTGCTTCGTGTTTTTGGCTTGCGTGCGTTGTGTCTCGCTGTGTCTCTGCGTGTGTGTGTGTGTGTGTGTGTGTGTGTGTGTGTGTGTGTGTGTGTGCGTGTGTGTGTTTGTGTGTGTGTGTGTGTGTGTGTGTGTCTGTGCGTGTCTGTGTGCGCGCGCGCGCGCGCGTGTGTGTGTGTGTGTGTGTGTGTGTGTGTGTGTGTGTGTGTGTGTGTGTGTGTATGTGTCTGTGTGTGTATGTCTGTGTGTGTGTGTATGTGTGTGTGTGTGTGTGTGTGTGTGTGTGTGTCGGGGCTCCCGCGCACCCGCCTTCGGCCCCTACTCCGGCAGGGGGGGGGCGGGAAGGAGTTCCCGCGCTACCGTCTACGGGCCCCGACCCCAAGCCAGAGTGCGCTTGACCGTTGAAGCTGATGCGCTCTCGCTTCAACGCCCTGCCACACGCGCGCCGATTCTTTGCAGCACGCATGCCACGTTCTCTTTCTCAGGCGAGCCGGGTACGGCGATACACTACCACGGGTTTTCCTCCCCTACTCATCTTCTCTTCCGTCGTCGTCGTCCCTTTCTCTCCCTGCCGCTCCCCCTCTCCCGGATGTCAGATGCTGCGAGCGCACGTTCGCGTTTTGCAATCCATTTGGCGGTGTGTTTTCCGCTCAGCGTGTGGGGGGAGGGTCCTCCGCAAGTTCCCTTTCGCACTGCTGTGTGCCCGCCAGTCTGGCTGCGCGATTTCTCCAGCTGCGCTGGTTCGATCTGCGCATGCCTTCTGCTGCGGCGGCCAGAAGAAGTACAGTTACCAGCCTCGAACGTATCCCTATCCCTAAGATTGACACGCCAATAGGCGATGACAATCCTAGGGATCCGCCCTCAAAAGATAAGGGAGTCCCTGAGATTGGCATCGTGGCGAGGAGGCGCCCGGCATAGGGGGGAGGGATGTGCTCCAGGCTGGTAATACGGCGTGCGAGGGCCGATCTGCGCGGCAATGGCCGGGGTTTGGGGCGGGACTCCCGCGCGCCCGCCCTCGGGCCCCATTTTCGGGCGGGGGGAGCGGGGATGGGGGCTCTCCCGCGCTGCCGCCTGCGGGCCCCGCCCCCCCCCCCGCCCGGAGGCGCACTGCCGTCATGGAGTTGGGGCGCCGAGCAGCGCCAGGGGACCGATTGGCCCCGAATGCCGCGACGTCGTCGTTGGCCCAGGGAGGTGGCAGGAGTGGTGGATCCTCGTGTGTCGCCAGTGCGCCGCCCTCCTCGGGCCAAGGAGTCATCGCTCTTCATCGCTTGGCCTGGCATCTCTCTTCTCTCTCTCAGGCGAGCCCCGAACGGCGAAAATAATGCCATTTCTCCAGTTCCTTTGGCGGGGGGGTATCCTCTCTCCGAGCGGGGGGCCATCCGCACGTTCTCTCTCTCTCTCTCTTTCTGTCTCTCTTCTTCACTAGCCCCTTGTTGGGGGGTAGTCTGCTCCCCTGTGTGGGGGGCCATCCGCACTTTCTCTCTGCCCCCGTATGGGGGGTAACCCGCGCGCCCCGCAGCCGGCCTGCCGCTGCTGTGTGCTGGCCCCTCCCTGTCCTCCTCGCCCCTCTCTTCTCCTGTCGTCGTCGCCCCCCGCGGGTTGCGGCCCCTTTCTGTCCTCCTCCTCGCCCCTTTCTGTCCTCCTCCTCCTCGCGCCGGCCCCTTTCTGTCCTCCTCCTCGCCCCTTTCTGCCCTCCTCCTCCTCGCGCCGGCCCCTTTCTGTCCTCCTCCTCGCCCCTTTCTGTCCTCCTCCTCGCGCCGGCCCCCACCCCCCGTGGGTGCGGCCCCCCAGTTGACCCAAACGCCCAGCAGGCCTTCGGCCGCCCTGCTGTCCCTCCTTCCCCCCCCCCCCTTGCCTCTGTGCTGTGCCTCCTCCTTCCCCTCCCGCCTCCTTCCTCGGCCGGCTCCTCCCCCTCTCCGCGCCCTGCCCTCCCTGGGCGTGGGGTGCCTCCTCCTGCCCCTCGGCTTCCCCTCCCCGGTCGGTCGGCCCCTGCCCTTGCGTCCGTCCGTCTCCTCCCTCGGCTGTTGCTGTCGCTCCCTGCTCCTCGTTCCTCCCTCTCTTTGCGTGGCCCCGCTTTCACTTGTCTTGCTGGCCCCTTGTCGTCCTAATTCGGGCCAGCATGGCCGCTGCTCGCCCGGCCTGGGCGTTCCGCGCCTCGGCCGCCGCTTCTCGCCCGCCCAACTTTGGCGTGGCCCTGCCCCTTTTCTCGCAGCCGCCGGCCTGGTGGCCCTCCGCTCGTCCGCTGCCGTTGTCCGGCGGCCCTCCGCTGTTTGCTCATGTTCCTTTTCCCTCAGACAGCTGGGCGCGCGCGCGTCGTTCTCCGCGCGCGGGCTGGACGGCGTGGCGCTGCGCCTGGCCGCGACGACCGACAGTGTGTGTGTGTGTGTGTGTGTGTGTGTATGTGTTCTGAGCAGGTGCGCGCGCGCGTACGCGTTCGTGTTCGCTGCTCGCGCGCCTGCGTGCGCGCGCGAGTGCGTTCCGTTGCGTGCACGTGAGGAGGAGGAGGAGGAGGAGGAGGAGGAGGAGGATGAGGAGGAGGAGGAGGAGGAGGACGAGGAGGAGGAGGAGGAGGAGGAGGAGGAGGAGGACCAGTGGAAACCTTATAATAATCAACGATGTTGGAATTGACCCTCCCTCCAAGCTCCCTCTTCATAGGCCCCATGCAACGGTTCATGTCCATTGAGGGAACTGCCTCGTTGGAAGACAACAGTTTGAAGATCTTGAAGCGTGCCAAAACATTGTTCTCGGGATTCCAACGCCACGTATCAACCTGACTGCTGCGTCTTGACGATCCAGAATCTTGCCAGAACGCCATTTTTGGGACTTCAACACAGCGAATCAACATATCTGTTGCGCCCGCGTAATCCTGAATCTTTCCAAAGCACCATTTCTTGTATGTTGGTCATGGAAATCCGTGAAGCTCTTGCAAATAGTACAAACGAATGTGCGCGGCGCTGAAGC